TCACCCTGTAGCCCTGTCACCTTTACACCCTGTAATCCGTGACACCCTGTCACACTGTGACCCCTCACACCCCATCACCCTGTAGCCCTGTCACCCTTACACCCTGTAATCCCTGACACCCTGTAACCCTGAGATCCTGTAATCCTTGACACCCATGTAACCCCTGACACCCTGCAACTTCTGACACCCTGTCACCCTGACCCTCATTTATCCAAGTCCTTTCCTGTTTTCTTCTGCAGTGGATCCAAGCATCAGCTACTTCTTCAGTCTGGTCATGGATCCATGCACAGCTTCAGTCGGTTTGTGTTTGCCTCACTCACCGATCCCAGAGGGTTGGCAGCTCATCCTGCAGACCCACATTTAGCTCATCAAAGACTTTCTGAGCCTTTTTAAGCTCTTCCTCTGCCTGTGGGTTTCATAAAACAGAGTAAGGAATCTTCATGCCCGCGCCCCCTTCTAACCACGTTACTTCTGACTCACCTTCATAATCTTCCTGTCATTCTTCATCCCAGGTGCCTGCAAAGATTCCAGCTGATGACGAGCGCTGTCATAGTCGATGAGTTTCCGACTTCTTTTGGCCACACGAACCTGAAAGCATAAAGTGTCACTTTTCTCCGATTTTTCCCTTTCTCTCTGGTAAACAGACTTTCCTCACCTTTAGGTCGGGGAACTGCTGCAGGTATCCATCGAGGTTCAGCAGAGTCGAGTCGACCAATTTGTTATGAAAGTCTTCCCACAATGCATCACAGTCCTGCAAGGCACACAGAGCTAAGATCTGCTGACACGTTTGTGTTGCAAAGTTGCCCCCTTCATTGGTAAAACATTTAAGCCACATAAAGCTCCTGGTCCACTTCACAGCTACATGGACAGTCAGATAAATCCCAGTTGATTCTAAAAACTAAATCCAAACACAGACCAGGCTCCAGGCTCCAGAGTTCATGCAATGCAGTGAAGCTGGGAATTTCCAGAAGGAATTAAAGCAGGTCTTCACAGAGACATGGCTGAACCCAGCAGAACCTGCCCCTCCACTGAGCTACGACATCTCAAGGATCATCTACAGCCTAAATGTTCACACTTC